CCCTTGACCGAAAATCTTAGCCCCCCCCCCCAAAAAAAAAAAAAGAAGGGTACGAACTCAGTTGAGTTTTCCACTATTTATAGGGGATTAAGGGTGGTAACTACCCCCTTAATCTGCTCCTCAATGGGCTGAGTGGGGTGTAACCGCTCCCTCTTAAATAGCTCCCTAAATTGTGGGGAAAAAGGTTTTGAAACCGTTCTGTTAGTGCTTTGAACGAGTCAAAACGCCAATCTGGGCGTTCTGGACCTTAACTCTGCGTCTTATTGATGAGACGCAGAGTTGGGCGCTTGTTGGGAGTTGAAAACGCAAGTGCCGCTTGCGTTCGGACCTTAACTCTGCGTCTTAAAGATGAGACGCAGAGTTGGGCGCTCGCTGGGAGTCGAAACGCACAGGCCGCATGCGTTTTAGAGATGAACTCTGCGTTTTAGGCTAGCCTGTTTTAGGCTGAAAACGCACAGGTAGTGCTGTTTTAGAGATGAACTCTGCGTTTTAGGCTGAAAGCGCAGAGTTGAGCTTGTTTTAGGCTGAAAACGCACAGGTAGTGTTGTTTTAGAGATGAACTCTGCGTTTTAGGCTGAAAACGCAGAGTTGAGCCTGTTTTAGGCTGAAAACGCAGAGTTGGGCCGTAACTCTGCGTTTTGATGTTATATCACAAGGATATCTCTGCGTTTTGAGGTTATAACGCTGGTTCCGACCTGTGCGTTTTGACTCCGTAATGCAGAGGCGAACCTTAGGCGGGCTTGGCGAGCTTCAAGCTAAGTCCAATTTTTCTACTTCAGAACATAACTTGCTGCGAAGAACATGTCATAACTTTCAAACCGTAAGTCGGAATTGGACGAATTATATATGAAAATCGGCTATCTCGACGAGACGGGGCCATCCAAACCGAGCCGAAGGCTTCGGTTCGCTTCCTCCGTTTCGTCAAATTCCTTACAGTTTGAGAGATATATGCATTCTAATATGAAGAGACCGTCAATTTGTAGTCTCTTTTGCTAGAGCGTTGCAAAGATCGTCACCTTGTAACCTTCGTCTTGGCTCCTTGAAAATATGAGAGTCATCAGATTGTAACTCCCGATGTTAATTGTGAATGCTGTTGAATTAGAGCTTTCATCAGTTGTCGTGAAGGTCGTCAGATTGTAGCCTTCTACGTGAAAGTCCTCAAATTGTAGCCTGCTAGAAGTCGTCAGATTGTAACTTTCATCATCGGTGTTTGATGGGTGATCAACTATCTATTGTGATTTTTAGACAGCCTACACCTACGTGAAAACTTTTCTTGTGTGCCAGCAAGACAAGACATAGTAGAGAATAGTGACCGGACTGTTAGAACCATTACCTATTCCGGAGCGACCTTGGGAAAGCATTTCCATGGACTTCATCATGGGTCTACCCAAGTTAGATGGATGCAACATTCTTATGGTGGTGGTTGATCGATTCTCTAAATACGACATTTTCATTCCAACCCCAGCTAAGTGTCCAGTCGAGGTAGCGACATCACTATTTATGAAGCACGTAAGTGATCAGAATGGCCGCTTCACAGGAAGGTTCTGGAAGGAACTCTTCAAACTCATGGGGTCGGATCTAAACTTCTCCACTAGCTTTCACCCTCAGACAAATGGCCAGACGGAGCGGGTAAATGGCTTATTGGAGGTATATATACATGAGACACTATATGAGTGCCAACTAGCAGGATTGAGCGAAGCTACTTGACATAGCCCAATTCTCCTATAATTTGCAAAGGAGTGAGTCTACCGGAATGAGCCCATTCGAGATCATCACAGGTCAGCAACCACTCAGTTCAAACGATATTGCTACATGTTATAAGGGAAATAGCCTAGCCGCTTACCGATTTGCAAAGGGGTGGCAAGATTAGAATGAATTGGCATGCTCGTGCTTGAACAAGGCGGCAAAGAAGATGAAGAAATAGGCCGACAAGAAGCAAAGGTATATGGAGTATCAAGTTGGAGACTTGGTCATTGTCAGGCTTTCTACATTGGATCGACATAAAGGGCTGCACGAGAGCTTGATGCGCAAGTATGAGGGCTCATTTCCGATCGAGAAGAAAGTGGGGAACGTAGCTTATAGGGTAAAGCTTCCCCCAACCGTGAAGTATCATCTGGTCTTCCATGTAAGTATATTGAAGACATATCATCAAGATACGGAAGATCCAGATAGAGGAAAGTCTAGTCGAGCGCCAACATGGATTCGCATGGAGTTCGACAAGGAGGCCGAATAAATTCTTGCGGATAGGACAGTTCTTGAAGCCAACAACCACCCGAGGTTAGAGTACTTTGTGAAGTGGAAAGTCTTATCCGACAGTGAGAACAGTTGGGAATTGACGCGATCCTTGTGGCAGTTTGAAGACTTGATCGAGAAGTTTCGCCAGGAGAAGACTAAGCGATGAAGGCATCGCTAAGATATGTGAGGGAGAATGTCACAAACCGCCCTATTTTGGCTCAATTGGGTTCATTTGGACTCACTTATTCATGGTTGGGTCCATGAAGATCCTAGGGTTTACTAGAGTTTTCTTACATAATAAAGGTATGATAAATATCTTGTATCTAGAAGTTTCTAGGAAAGTCTCATGTAAATATCTAGGAAGATCTTTTAGGAGAAGTGTCTAGAGACTCAATCCTAACCATTGGTTGTAAGAACAATCTAGAAGGCTAATCATAGCCATCCATTGTAAGCTAGCCTTGCCTATAAATAGGGGGCTAAGACATTCTCTTTGTATCAAGCAAGAGTTGCTAAGTAATAAAGCAATAAGAGCTTTCACTTCCACTCTTGGGTGCTCTCTTCCCTTCTCTTGAGTGAGTGTTGGGGGAAAAGAGTGACTAAGTGCCGCACGGGTTCGAGTGAGGTTTGTGGTGAAAGAATCAGCCTGTGACACCTGCAGGTCCTCATCAATTGCACCCGACTCTTAGTGGGGTTATTCATTGGGACATTTGGTTGGATAATGGGATAATTTTAGGAATTTTATTTCATAGTGTTATTCATTAGGACAATAGAACAAGAATAATACTTTTTTGTGTTATTGGTTTTTAGAACACTAGTGAGATAATTTTACCACTTGGGATAAAATTACCACACTCATATACAAAAATATTATCCCAATCGTAGAAATTTACTCCATCCTCCATATTGGAACAATTTTGTTCCACTTTGAAGGCAATTGGGATAATCTTCAAATCTTTTTTGTATTACTTAAAGTAATACATGCTAATTATATTATAAATATATGACTGATATGAAAAGTATAAATTAATAATATATTCAATATATTATATTATATTATTATAGTTTAATTTATATGTATAATTTATTTTATGATATTTATTATATATTATTATGCAATATCACATACTATATTATATAATAGTACAACATATTTATTATAATATTATATAATATTTTAATAACATATATTATTATATAATATTAATTTAGTAATTATAGTATAACATACTATATTATTGTATAAATAACATATATTATTATATAATATTTTAATAACATATTTTAATATTTTAATAACATATATTAATAATATTATATAATAACATATATTAATTTTTTAACAACATATATATAATATTTTAATAACATATATTAATAATATTATGTAATATATTATTATATAATATTAATTAGTAATTATAGTATAACGTATTTATTATAATATTATATAATATTTTATACAGTACATTATATCCTATGATACTATATTATAATATATTAAATTAAATAATATATTATGAAAGTATTACATTAAATATATTGTTCATATATTATATCAATTTTATATAATGAAGGATAGTATATAATTGTAATATAAATATATATTATATATTAAGTAGTAAATTAGTATAACATATTATATTTATGTATAATAAATAAATAATTATATAAATATTATATTATTAAAATATTTTATTAAATATATTGATCTTATATTATATTTATTATTATATAGTATAGCCATCTAATATAATATAACTAATTTTAATTATATAATAATTAATAATATTAATAGAAATTATAGTATAACTATATATTTTAATATATATAAAGTAAAATATATAATTTTATTTACAGTACATTATTATCTTTATGATACTATATTATAATTATATTAAATTAAATAATATATTATTGAAAGTATTACATTAAATATATTGTTTCATATATTATATCAATTATATATAATGACGATACTAATATAATGTAATATAATATAATAATTAATAATATTAAGTAGTAATTATAGTATAACATATTATATTTATGTATAAATAAAATAAATAATTATATTAAATATTATATTATTAGAATATTTTATTAAATATATTGATCTTATATTATATTTATTATTATATAGTATAGCATGCTAATATAATATAATATATTTTAATTTAATATAATAATTAATAATATTAATTAGAAATTATAGTATAATATATATTTTAATATAAAGTAAAATAATATTCATATTATAATAATATACTAAATAATATACTAAGGCTGTGTTTGGGAATGTTGATTTGGGCTTGGATTTGAAATTCTGGACATTTCAAATCCAAATATCATGTTTGGACTCAACTTTGGATCATGATTTTAAATCAAGTTATTTAATAGAATGAATTTGAAAGGTCCAAAACTATAGATTTCAAATTTCACCACAGTAGTTGGTATTTATCAAATCCTCACCCCACAATCCCAACCCCTCAAAACCCCGACTCCTCTCTTTTTCCTCTCTCACGCTCGTGTTGAAGTCCCGACTCCTCAAAATCTCAATCTCGATCTCTCTCCATCGCAGGTAGTCTCTTCCTCCTCTCCTCTACTCCCCCCCTCTTCCTTCCGTCGGCCGGCCACCATCATCTCCTCTCTCTCTCTCTCTCTCTCTCTCTCTGAACCTAGGGTTAGGGTTTCGTAGGCTCCGAAGAATCGATGGATGGAGATTCTCTCGAGATCCAGTGAAGAAGACGAGGACGAGTACTTAAGACGTGAGGGTTCCTCTCAAAGAGGTAATGATTTGATCGTTGATTTTTGAGTTGTTTCTATTTCTGACCCTTTTCGTTGTGAAGGGGATTTTACGGTGAGATTTGATGGGAAGAATGCGGAGCAGAAGCAGCAGCTGCTGACGCCGAGATCGAAGCATTCTGCAATGGAGCAACGGAGGAGGAGCAAAATTAATGACAGGTCTGTGATTTTGATGGATAATGCTGGTTCTCCTTTTTTTATTCGCTGAAGTCTGTGCTAGTGTCTTTAGGGTTGCTCAATGTTCATCCCCCCCCCCCTTCCTTTATTATTTGGAACTTTGCAACATTGTAAATTGTTGCTTGTTATGGGTTTTGGTTTCCTGAACTGGTGAAATCTATATGCAAAATTCTTAGGTTAATGTTGGATATATCATGATCGACAAAATCCATATCGAGATGGTCTTTAGATCTTTGGTTGCTGAACTATAGATTAAGTTATCAACATGCCAGTTACTTAGTAGCCGCAATATTTTTGAATCACAAATAGCAGAAAGCTTTATATTTAGTGGTCACTGTGTCTGAATCTTGATCATTGGTATTAAAACATCCCTTACTTTTAACTTTAAATCCACAGTTCCGACAGTGCTAGTTCGTGTTTGTACCACAGTATAGCACCATCAGAACCCATCTTTTGCCTCTGCACGAGTTGGTTAATGCATCTACTATAATTTTACTTCCCTCTAGTGCTCAACCTCCAAAAATGATTTCTTACTTATAGCAGTCTAGCTCATTTACGTGTAAAATTTGTGATATTACTTTCTGACTACTAAATACATGCTTTTCGACCTGTTATGAGCTGGAGGTTGAGAAAATTAAAATTGTCTCTAATGCTTTTCAAGCATCTTCTGCAGTCTGATTCGCTGGCTTCCTCAACGTCAGCACATTGGCGCCATCAACCTGTAAAAATGTTAGTCACAGTAAAAATCAATAATTTCATACTCAGGAATAATTACTATCATGTTGAGTGAAGTTGTTACCCCTGGTGGAGGATTATAATGTATATCATCATCTGTAATATCAAGATACGCCAGTAAACCATTCAGTGTACGCAAATCCCATATATCTGTCATAGATGTAACTAAGTGATCACTAGTTATATGATGATGATAGATATTTGCAAGCTATTTTCTTCTGAATTAAAAACTCACCATCATGTTGCTCTTGAAAGTGCAAGCTTCCATCCTGAGGCAATTTGTCGTGGGGGAACTCATAGTTGAAATTAGCAGAGACTTGGGGTAGGGGAGGTATCGAGAAATTCAACAGTGGAAACATCCATGGTTTGGACATATGATGATGTATCTTGATGATTAGTCTGAGGTGCAGGTTGACATCCGACTGCATCAGGCTCATGAATCTCAACACCACTGTCAGTAGAGGCATTAACTGAGCCATTGGTCTTATTGGAGACATTGGTCTCATTTGGAGCCATTGGTCTCATATGGTTTGGACATATGATGATATATCCAGAATATGAAGGCTTTTACATTTTATTCGCATATGTTTTCTTTTTTGGATGGATTACCAGAGTATCGCCCAAGAGAGCCTTCACCATTGGTGAATATATATAAAAACATTTCCTATATTTTTCCCCTTCTACATTCTTTTCCTTTCCTTTTTGTTTTGTTTTGTTTTGTCTATGTGCTAGCTCCCTTTGATTGCTCCTTTATGCATGTTGCACATAATTCTTTGCGTTTTTTATCAAAGTTGGCATGTATGTAAACTTTAGGGAAAGAGGAAAGTCATCTTAGCACCGCACTATAGGCTGTCTAATAAAAATTACAAAGTAAATGATTTTATTTCTCTAGCTATCAACTGTAGTTATCCATTTTACTTCCAAAACCAACTACTGTGGGAGATTAGAACTAAATATGCATACAATCTTTTATCTATTTGGTAGTTCTATATGGTACATCCTTGCCTAATCTCATATTACATTTGCATTATTAAAAGAAGAAAAGGAAACACGACTAATGATAAATTAATCAGTTTTCTTCATGAAAGGTTTTAGTCTATGCATTGAGATAGTTTCTTGTTGGACGACGAGACTCGTCAAATCTTTGAACCTGTTCGGGTAAGTTCTCTCTTGGATTTATTTTTTGGGCAAGTGCTATGATATATGCTATTTAGCTATCTTGAGTAGCATATTTTGTGTTCTACCACTTGCTTCAAGTTTCTAAACTTTATCAATTTTCGTCATTATGATTTGTTCAACATTAAAAACTATCTTGATCATCTTGATTGGATTTTAGCATGGTTTGAATTCATTAGATAATGTTGTCTGTCGATTTTTGTGTCATTGACTAATTGATGCTAAATTGTATAATGTAGGACTCAATAAATTCTTTGAGACATGAAGTTCGACAAAATGGAGAGAAAGGAGGCGAAGACTTGAACGATAAATAGAGGATTATACATATGGTTTCTTTTAATAGTTTTATGTTGTGGTTATTTGGCTTGTTGTAGCAAATCATGGTTACTTGTTGTAGCAAATCATGGTTATCAACTATCTATAGCATGTTGTATTTTATTGTAGCAAATCATGGTTACTTGTTGTAGCAAATCATGGTTATCAACTATCTATAGCATGTTGTATTTTAAATGAAGGCTTATTGTGTGTTATCAACTATCTATAGCATGTTGTATTTTAAATGAAGGCTTATTGTGTAGCCTAGAGCTTCTTATGATGATTTTTTGCTAAACTCTACTGTGTCATCAAGTCTTTTTATCATGACTAGTTATTGGAGTAGTATTTTTATTCTTTGGGGATCGAAGGTCAATTTAGTATTGGATGAAACCATGAAAAAAATGTCATAATAATGAATATTTTGGACATCATTACTATTTTTGTATTCTCTTGTACTGGTTCAGGAAGGATAAGATGTTTTCATGTGTATTTATAATTGCTATCGAAGAGATCAATTTTGATTTTGAATCACTTCTCAAAGTTTATTTCAAATCCAAATTCATGTATAATAAAATTTATCCAAACATTAGATTTTAAATCTTTGATTTCAAATCCTTGCATTTAGTAATGACATCCAAACAAATAATTTTATTAAATCATGAATTTCAAATCCTAGATTTAAAATCCCTTGATTTTAAATCAAGCTTTCAAATCCAAATCTTAGTTCCCAAACGTAGCCTAAACGAATTTGATAATTTAATTTAGAAGTAATAAATAGATAAAATTATATTTTAATAAAGTGCCACATCATCAATTATCTCACATGAATTGTCAAATCAAAGGTTCAAATTGTCTCATTATCCCAATTTATCCCGCTTTGCTCTACTCAAAATATCCCAAAAGGATAAAATTGTTCCATGAGAATAATTTTCTTACTTGGCCCAAATTATTTACAAACCCCTTAATCTCAACGTCAAAATCCCTCCTTCAAAAGAAGCAACCAATCTTCACAGAATCAAAAATCAGATCTGGCCGCCGCTCTCTCCTCCAAAAGAGCAAATTGGAATTTATTGATATTTTGTATATAGAGAAGTGTCATGTGTTTACTTTTCGCACAGGGCCCCTAAAATCTCAGAACCGGCCCTGACTATGCATGTATATGCACCTCTTCCAATCTGCTCGTCAAGCACTTGTTAGCCTGCATATATATAGCCTCAAATTGCACACCGCCGGCGCCGGTATTGGTTCTCTACTTTTAAGTTCCTATATTTTTTTGAAAGAGTATGGAGAAGTGTCGTTGCAGGTAAGGGGCTGTTTGGTTACATTATTTCTTGAGTGAAAGTGGTGTAAACTTACTGTACATAGGGTCCACGTTCAGCTTTCACTGTTTTACAGTGTTTGCATGCAACTTTAAAATCATGTAAAGTTGCTGATGTGTCACCCAATTGGTGATGTGTCCGTGTAAAGCAAAATCCCCCCAAAATGAGCTATTTTGGGCGGAAAGCTGCTATAATGTCAGTAAAGGACATTTAAAAAAATAAACTTACCAATTAACTCATCTTTCCATCACCACTCTTTCTTCTCTATTTCTTCTTGTGTCATAAATACTCTAGTTTACATTATACTATCCAAACAATGTAATACTATTATTTTAGGATTCACAAAGATTCCTAACCAAACAATGTAAACACTAAAATGGAAAGTGGTAAGGTGGATAACCACTTTTCATTTTATGTCATAGATACTCTAGTTTCCCTAGGGCTGTCCATTTTACCCGCCGGCCCGGGCCCGGCCCGGAGCCCGGCCCGGGCCCGGCCCGGAAAAC